TGGAGAATCCGAGACAACAAGGTGCAGGGCTGGATGAACACAGCAGGCCAAGCAGCATCATAGGAGCAGAAAGGCTGAAAGAATCAAAATGTTTGTTTGGTGTGGGCTTCAATATTCTTTCATTCACTCTGTGCTCACCACAGGAGGGAGCAGAGTGAATATAAAAGAGGAGGATTCTGAAGACAAAGATTTTTGAAAACTGTTTTGCAACAATCATGCAGAAGATTCTGTCTTTAGCTTATGTATAATAAAACTGCTCAGACAGTAGGCATGAGAGGTCAATATGTAGTCCTTTATAAAACTGATATTGAATCTGAGAAACAGAATTGTGTAATGGGTGAAAGATCTTTAAATGGAAGGCCTGTGATTGAACTAAATAGATGTTTGGAAGTATTTACAATTTAAATAAAATAAAACCCACAGGAAGCTTTTCTGAATTTGTTTATTGGGCTGCTCTACACCATGCTGAGGGCAATTCAGCCAATCTGGGCAAGAATATCCTGTCAATTTCAGATCAATAGATCACTTTTATTTTGGTAAAAGTTTACAAATTCATACAGTCTTCTTCCTCTGTCTCTCAAGGTAATGACTTGTGCTCGGCTTTGATACCTTTCAATTATCCTTTTAAATTTTCTGTGTCATTTGGGTTAATGCACAGTACCATTATATTTGTTTGCACAGCCACAGTATAGAATAAGTCATTAAATCCCTACACTGTGGAAAGAGGCCATTCAGCCCATTGAGACTTCACTTTTTGAAGACCATTCGGCCCAGACCTAGCCCCTACCCTTTCCCAGTAATCCTACATTTACCTTGGCTAATCCACCTAACCTGCTCATCCCTAGACACTACTGGGCAATTTAGCATGGCAATCCACCTAACCTATACATCAGGTGGAAACTGGAGCACCTGGTAGAAACCCACACAGAAAAGTGGAGAACATGCAAACTCCACAAAGACAGTCACAAAGCTGGAATCGAACATGGATCCCTGGAGCTGTGAGGCAGCAGTGCTAACCATGAGCCTTCCTGGAGGGGTCAAGCTCGAGAGCAGTTTGTGTCATATGTACGCTATTATTATGTGTCCATGTAGGCGCATACAGCTTCATGGTCAATTGGTGCCAGTCAGAGTCCCAGGTAATCATTATTTCCTCATGAAGCAGCCTAACCCAGGTAGACAGCAAACTATTCAACCATGTAACAAAGTCTTGACACCCACATGCAATGAGTAACAAATTGGACAACCATCAAAGGTGGGAAATCTGAAAAAAAGACAGAGAATGGTGGAGAAATGCAGGAGGTCTGGCAGCATCTGTGAAGAGAGAAACAGAGTTGATTTTTCCAGTCAGGTATGAGCCTTCTTCAGTGCTGAAGGAGAGAATTCTGGCTGATTTTATTTCCATCCCCTAGTCCCGTGTGAACAAACTCGAACATACAAACACTGGCACCCCGCAAGGATGCATTCTCAGCCACCTACTGTACTCCCTGTACACCCACGAATGTGTGCCCAAATTCCGAACGAATGCCATCTACAAATCTGCTGATGAAACCACGTGGTCGGAAGGATATCAAACAACAATGAGTCAGAATACAGAATGGAGATACAGCGCTTGGTGTCATAGTGCAATCATAACATTCTCTCTCTCAATGTCGGCAAAACAAAAGAACTAATCATTGACTTCAGGAAGAAGAGAGAAGGACATTCCCCCATCTATATCAACAGACCTGAGATGAAGAGGGTCAAGAGTGTCAAGTTCCTTGGAGTGATGATAACCGACAATCTGTCCTGGATTTCCCACATAGATGCGATGGTTAGGAAGGCACAACAAAGCCTCTTCTTCCTCAGGCAGCTCAGGAAATTCAGCATGTCCATTAGGACCCTCACCAACTTTTACAAATGCACCATACAAAGCATTCCATCCGGGTGCATTATGGCCAGGTACTGCAACTGCTCTGCCCAAGACTGTAAGAAACTAAAGAAGATTGTGTATCCAGCCCAAACCATCACATAAGCCAATGGCCCATCTATGGACTCTATTTACACTTCTTGTTGCTGCAGAAAGGCTGCCAACATCATCAAAGACCCCTCCCACCCCCTTAATGCTCTTTACCAACCTCTTCCATCAGGCAAAGATACAGAAGCTTGAAGACAGGCACCAGTTGGTTCAAGAACAGCTTTTCTCCCTGCAGTTATTAGATTGTTGAATGGACTCTTTAACTGCAAATCATGTCGATCTTGCTAATGTTAATCTTGCTTTGTGCACCTGTGACCTCATATGCCTCACTCTGTCTAAGCACCGTATGATCTGCACGTCCTTGTTTGCCATGATCTGCTTGCACTGCACACAAAACAAGGCTTTTCACTGTACTTAGGTACATGTGAGTACAATAAATCAAATAAAACCAAACCCGAAAGCTGCCCTGAATCTGATTCATTATTTTGGCAGATGCCATGCCACATAGTGGCTCAGTGGTTAGCACTGCTGCCTCACAGCACCAGCGATCTGGGTTCAATTCCATGTTTGGGTAATTACCTGTGTGGAGTTTGCACATTCTCCCTGTGTCTGTGTGGGTTTCCTCTGGGTGCTCCAGTTTCCTCTCACAGTCCAAAGATGTGCAGGTTAGGTGCATTGACCATGCTAAAAACTGCTCCATAGTGTGCAGGCTTGTTGGCAGAGGGGGAGGTTTTGTAGCCAGGGTAAATAAATCCATGCAGGATTACAGGGATGGGTCTGGGTGGGTTGCTTCTCATGGGGCTGGTGCAGACTTGATGGGCTGAATGGCCTCTTTCTGCACTGAAATAATTTGACCAATGTTGCATTGTGGAATATGCCTATTTTGTATTTCTAGGTGGAATGCTGTTTGGAGGGTCGGTGTGGACTTGTTGGGCCGAAGGTCCTGTTTCCACGCTGTAGGGATTCTGTGGATCAAATCTATCTCATACTGAGGGTAAATGATAAACTTGTACTCTGAAGTTGACGCACATGATTGAAATTGTACCTTTTTATTATCTTTTTTTAAGGATGAAACAAAGTATCCCTGCAGAAGATGAGTCCTATTTGAACAGTTACAACAACCCAGCCTACTTTGTACTTGAAGGAGTTCCTTACCCCCAGTCTGGAACGGGCAGTCAGGAAAATGCAGGGATTTCAGTGTCAAGAACAATTCCTAGGAATAAGCCACAACCACCTCCTCCAACAGTGATGGAGAAACCGAGGGACCCGTCCTTCCGACACTTGAACTGTGAAAGCAGTTCCTCAGACCATGAAGGCCTGCGCGGCCCTTATGATCAGTCCCAGCACGCTTTCCCCAAAGCGATGGAGGTCGAAATGCAGAACAACCCACTTTATGCCAGTTCAGCCGATGTTTGGGGTAAAGCTCACCAGGCTGCGCCATCCAAAAATAACCAAGAGTGGCACAAGCCTACAATGTCAACCAGGGATTCCCAAGAATTCAAGGCCCCTACCACAGCACCCAGGAGCTTCTCCAGGCCTCAGCTGGCAGGGAAGAGTGGGGCTCAAGCGTCACTGATCAATGAGGTCCGAGACAAACTCTCCGAAAGAAAGACGGATGACTTCCATGCGGCAAAATCGCTGAGCGGCAAGGACCGCCAGGCAAACAGGTGTGAGCTCCCCCTTCCTGTTCGAGAACGGCCAACAGTGAGTCCTCGGTTACCAGCAAGAAACAAAGCAACAGCAGAGTTTCAACCCCGGCCTACACGACTGGACATGCCTCCACCACTGCCTGTCAAGAGCAGAACACTGGAGACTGGGGTATGTATTTAACATAATGAGTCATTCTGATGTGAATCATTGGAATAGTCAAATCTTTGTTTCACCCATCGCAGTGTCGCTTGAGAGGTTAGAGATAGCAAGAACTGCAGATGCTGAGTTCTGATGAAGGGTCCCGACCCGAAACGTCGACTTTCCTGCTCCTCTGATGCTGCCTGACCTGCTGTGTTTCTCCAACTCCACACTGTGTTGACTTGTTTGAGAAGTTACATTTGCAACACCACTTTTAGCACCTTCTAACAAAACAGTTGTGAATCCTACTTGCACCTGACTACACATGCCAGCCATGCTACGGCATTGGCAGTGTAATACTGGGTCAATTGGGCTTTTACATGCTCAATGGACTCTGGATTATTTAGTCACATTGGGTTCAGTTAGCTCAGTTGGCTAAATAACTAGAATCTGGTGCAGAACAAAACAAACAGTTCAATTTCCATACCGGCTGCAATAGGTCATTGAGGCCATACCACCTCACCTTAACTCATGCTTGTGGAGTGCTTACTTCAATCTATATGTACCCAATTGGATCTCCCTAATGGATAGAGATGCTTATGGTAATTTATAGGTTATGCCTCGATGCCTTTTACTTACATTTTATGGGCCAGGCTACTGGACTTGCTGCCCACCCATCCTCTACATCATAGAGATGAACAGGGGTTTGGGTGGTAAATTTGTAGGCTAGCCATCTTCTCTATATTTTGTGCACCCTCACCCAATTCAGGGGAGGTGATAACCTAGTAGTATTGTTCAGACAGTGAGTTAAAATCCTGGGGACCTGGGTTTGAATCTTTCCACAACAGATGGTGGATTTTGAAACCACTAAAAATCTGGGATTAAGAGTCTAATGATGACCCTGAATTCTCGATTGTTGGAAAACTCATCTGGTTCACTAATGTCCTTTTATGAAGGAAACTGCTGTCCTTACCTGGCCTGGCCTACGTGTGACTCCAGACCCACAGTGATGTGGTTGACACTGAACTGCTTTCTGGACAATTAGGGATGGGCAATAAATGCTGCCTAGCCAGCAATGCCCTCTTCCTGTGAATGATTTTTTTAAAAATCACATCTGGGAGACAGAAGTAATATTCAGCCCCAGTCTACTGCCTTCCAAATGAGATATTTACTAAAAATCTGGTCATTATTGCTGATAGGATAATATTTCCAAAGTGATTAGTATGCATGTTACAATGGCTCCACCCATTTTATTGATGTCACACACAGTCTGTGGTTGGAGACACTGTGTTCCACTCCAGCTTTCAGAGGGAACAGATGTACCTCTATTAGCTCCCTAATGTACACACAGTTCTATCTAACCAAATGTACTTTATTGCTTTAGCACAATAAACCTTGGTGTCATAAGATCATAAGATGTAGCAGCAGAAGGTAAGCCATTCAGCCTTTCGAGTCTGTTCCACCATTCAATAAGATCATAGCTGATGTGATAGTCTTCAACTCCATCTTGCTGCCTTTCTCCCATAAACCTTGATGGGTAACTTCTCATTCTGAAACTATGCCCTCTCATCCCAGATTCTCCCAGAGAGGGATACAATATTACTTTATTGACCCTGTCAAGTCCCCTCAGAATTTGGTGTGTGTCTAAGAACTGTGCCCCTTCTATAGATGCTCCACAGTGGTGTACTCTCTGCCACTGATCACTCGATAGGCCCAACACAAAGCAAAAATACCAGTATGAGGTACCTGGTAAGATTCATTTGACATAGTTCACTGCCACCTCAAATGAATCTTATCGGGTACCACATACTGGTGGAAATGGCAAATACCACGAGGTACCAGCAGTGGTCATGTAGGGAAATGCCACAGTTAGAGTATTGTTTTTTGTGGGATCTTTTTGTGTGCAAGTTGGCTGCTGCGGTCTTCATATTGCATCAGAGATTCTGACGAAAGTTCAGGGATCTGACTTGATAGTTTTGTTTCTTCCTCCACTGATGTTGCCAGACCTGCTGTTCTTTTCTGACTACTTTGTTCTTATTTCAGATTTGCAACATCTATATATTTGATTTTACATTGGAGTTAAAATTCATTTGTTCTATTTGGTTTTAAAAAGCTTCAGGATACCCTGACATCATGAAAGCTCGAAAACTTGAAGTCTTTCTGTTACATTATATACACCAGCAAAGTTCCTTTCTAAACCGTCTTCTTCCGACATTAATCTTCTCTCATCTTTCATTATCATTCCTCTTGCTTTTGAGAACGCTCTTGTGAATTTTGTCCTCTTTAAAACATTCACACAAGCATTGAAATGCAGTAACAAATGTTGTATGGAGTACTCAGGCCATACTTAAGTAGCCATAGGGTCGTTCTGCTTTTAGACAGAGACAACTGGGGGTGGTTTAACCCAAAGGTCACCACACCTCAGGCAAGGGGAGGGGTTCAGAAGGAAAAGAAGACAATTGACATTTCTGAAGAAGGGTCCAGACCCGAAACATCAGCTTTCCTGCTCCTCTGATGCTGCCTGGCATGCTGTGTTCATCCAGCTCCACACTGTGTTATCTCAGACTCGAGCATCGGCAGTTCCTACTATCCCCCAATTGAACCCATGCTGTTAGCATCACAAATCAGCTATCCGAGCTAACCAACCTTCTAGGTAGGGAAAAGTTTTTTTCTCTATTCATTGGTGGGATGTGGGCGTCACTGACTGGGCCAGCATTTCGTGCCCATCCCTAATTGCCCTTGTGAAGGTGGTGGTGAGCTGCCTTCTTGAACCACTGCAGTCTTCCTGCTGTGAGTTGACCCACAATGCTATAAGGGAGGGAATTCCAGGATTTTGACACAGCGACAGTGAAGTAACTATGATATATTTCGAAGTCAGGATGGTGAGTAGCTTGGAGGGGAACTTGGAGGTGGTGAGGTTCCCATATGTCTGCTGCCCTTGTCCTTCTAGATGGAAGTGGTCATGGGTTTGGAAGGTGCTGTCAAAGGATTTTTGCTTAATTTCTGCAGTGCATCTTGTAAAACAACCATGACCATCTTCCTATGTTGTCAGGTATTATTCAACTACCGGAGAGTTTGCCCCCGAAAGCTGATTCCAGCTTTGCTAGGGCTCCTTGATGCCACACTCGGTCAAATGCAGCCTTGATGTCAAGGGCTGTCACTCTCACATCACCTCTGGAATTCAGCTCTTTTGTCCATGTTTGAACCAAGACTTTAACGAGATCAGGAGCTGAGTGGCCCTGGCAGAACCCAAACTGGGCATCACTGAGCAGGTTATTGCTGAGCAGGTGCTGCTTGATAGCGCTGTTGATGACCGCTTCCATCACTTTACTGATGATTGAGAGTAAACTGATGGGGCGGTAATTGGCCGGGTTGGATTTGTCCTACTTTTTGTGTGCAGGACATACCTGGGCAATTTTCCAAATTGTTGGGTAGATACTAGTGTTGTAACTGTACTGGAACAGCTTGGCTAGGGGAGCGGCAAGTTCTGGAGCACAAGTCTTCAGTGCTATTGCCGGAATGTTGTCAGCGTCCGTAAGCTTTGCAGTATCCAGTGTCTCCAACTGTTTGTTGAGATCACATGGAGTGAATCGAATTGGCTGAAGACTGGTACCTATATTGCTGGGGAACACTGGAGGAGGCTGAGATGGATCATCCACTCAGCATTTCTGGCTGCAAATGCTTCAGCCTTATCTTTTGCACTGGTGTGCTGGGCTCTTCCATCATTGAGGCTGGGGATATTTGTGGAGCCTCCTCCTCTAGTGAGTTGTTTGATTGTCCACCACTGTTCACAACTGGATGTGGCAGGACTGTAGAGCTTAGATCTGATCCATTGATTGTGAGATCACTTAGCTATGTCTATCACTTGCTGCTTTCACTGTTTGGCGTGCAAGTAGTCCTGTTTGGTGGCTTCACCAGGTTGATACCTCATTTTCAGGTATGCCTGGTGCTGCTCCTGGCACCCCTCCTGCACTCTCCGTTAAACCAGGGTTGATCCCCTGGCTTGATGGTAATGGTTGAGTGGGGGATATGCCGGGCCATGAGGTTACAGATTGTGCTGGAGTACAATTCTGCTGCTGTTGATGGTCCACAGCGCCTCATGGATGCCTAATCTTGAGCCACTAGCTCTGCGCAAAGTCTGTCCCATTTAGTACGGTGATAGTGCTACACAACACGATGGAAATTATTCTCAATGTGAAGGTGGGACTTCGTCTCCACAAGGACTGTGCAATGGTCACTCTTACCGATACTGTCATGGACAGATGCAACTGCAGCTGGCAGATTAGTCAGGGTGAGGTCAAGTATGTTTTTCCCTCTTATTGGTTCCCTCACCACCTACCGCAGACCCAATCTAGAAGCTGTGTCCTTTAGGACCAGTCCAGCTCGATCAGTTGTGCTGCTGCTGAGCCACTCTTGGTGGTTGACATTGAAATCACCCACGCACAGTATATTTTGTGCCCTTGCCATCCTCAGTGCTTCCTCTAAGTGTTGTTCAATGTTGAAGACTACCGAGTCATCAGCTGAGGGAGGACGGTATGTGGTAATCAGCAGGAGGTTTCTTGCCCTGTGAATTTCATGGGGTCCGGAGTCAATGTTGAGGACTCCCAGAGCAACTTCCTCCCAACTGTATATCACTGTTCCACTACCTCTTCCGTGTCTGTTCTGCGTGGGACAGGACATATCCAGGGATGGTGATGGTGATGTCTGGGACATTGTCTGTAAGGTATGATTCTGTGAGTATGACTATGTCAGGCTGTTGCTTCACTAGTCTGTGAGACAGCTCTCCCAATTTTGGCACTAACCCCCAGATGTTAGTGAGGACGACTTTGCAGGGTCAAAAGGGCTGTTTCTGCCTTTGTCTTTTCCAGTGCTGAGGTCGATGCCATGTGATCCATCCGGTTTCATTTCTTTGAGACTTTGTAGTGATTGGTACAACTGAACAGCTTGCTTGGCCATTTCAGAGAGCAATTGAGAGTCAACCACATTGCTGTGGGTTTGTGTCACATATAGGCCAGACCAGGTGAGGGTTGGCAGATTTTCCTTCCCTGAAGGGAATTAGTGAACCAGGTGGGTTTTTCCAAAAACGATGATCAGTAGATTTTTAATTCTGGACTGTTTTTTAATCGAATTCAAATTCCACCATCTGCTGTGGTGGGATTCGAACCTGGGTCCCCAGCGCATTAGAGATAACAAGGTGTAGAGCTGGATGAATACAGCTGGCCAAGCAGCATCATAGGAGCAGGGTTTACTGGATTAATAGTCTAGCGATAATACCACCAGGCCATTACTTACCCTGTGTGTTATAAACGTTCATAATTACTGTAAATGCACTCCAAAAGTAGTTCCAGCTTTATAAATGCAAAAACTGGTAGTGTAATGATGAAAATAATAATCTTCCTGTATCTTCAAAAGATAAAGTATTTTTCTCTGTCTTTTAGAACTTCGACAATCGGTGCCACTCAGGTACCCTATCTGAGTTCCTGAAGCACTTGGGTTTGGAAAAATATGAAGCAGGTTTGATTGAGAACGGATGGGATAAATTGGAATACTGGAGGTAATTACAGCTAAAGAACACCTGATTAATATTAATAACTTTCTGCTTATTTGTAGTTACACAAATAAATCCAACTGGTTATTATGCTGGTGAGTGTTGTAAAGTTCCTGGAGAAGGCCAGGGCTTGTGGGGGGTTGGGGAGGAAGGGAAGTGCTGTGGTGGTGGATGATTCAAGTGAAATTGTCTCAGTATCTTCAAGTTGAGTAGCAATCTAGTATAGGTTGATGTGATATTGAGGAATTGGACTCAGTTCAGGTGTATTGGACATCCATAGCCCAAAACTAGAGTTCTGGGTGACATTGGTGGCTCAGCGGTTAGCACTACTGCCTCACAGCACCGGGGACCCAGATTCATTTCCAGCATCGTCTGTGTGGAGTTTGTACATTCTCCCTGTGTCCCTGTGCGAGTTTCCACCAGGCGCTCAAGTTTCCTCCCTCAGTTCAAAGACATGCGGGCTGGGTGGGTTAACTGCGGTAAATGTGGGGTTATGGGGATAGGATGGCGGTCTGGGTGGAATGCTCTTCGGAGGGTAAATGCAGACTGGATGAGCCAAATGGCCTCTTTCCACAGTGTAGGGATTCTAACTACGATATAATGCAGCACAAATTGGCTCCAAATTAGCAAATTGATTACCTTACTGTCATTTCCCTGTTGGGTTTTGATCCATCCAGCAGATGTTCAGACACCTGTGAGCCTGCTCTTTCCCTGTGCTCCCAACTAATTACTGCAGCAGCTTGTGAGAATTCTCAGGCTACTCTTGAAGTTCTTATTAATGTACCTCCCTTATTGCCAACAATTTTCGTATCTGCTGACAACAGATATAGATCCCAATGGTAGGCCTCAGACAGGCCTACTGATGTTCAATTTCAAATGGACCAAATACTGGCCCCGTTGACAAACAGATTCCTGTCAGTCATTACAGCCCAATCAGGTTTAGGCTGCCTCTTTACCCTCCAACAATCCAGGCACTGCCCCTCTATCTTAGACTGGCATCCCATCAGATCCATTGGAGGTGCACTGGAGATAGCAATTCCTGTTGTGCCTCTGCAAACACGAGCTTGCCCAATTGTAATTGTTCAGCCAAACACATCACTGTGATCATTGCAAAATAATGTGTGATAAATTATGGATGTTGCATGAGATTGATTCAATGCACTTAGCTGAGGAAAATGACGATTACAATGATTTTAATTGCATGGTAAATTGCTACTGTTAAGAGTCTGATGTCATTTTTTTCACCCTCTTGTTCAGCGGCATTGCTGAAGAGGACTTGGTGGAAGCTGGTGTCACTGACCCCCTTCACAGGAAGTTGCTTCTGGAAATAACTTCCCAACAGAAGCCTTGACAAACAAGCCAGGCAAGACAGAAAGCAGGGAAAGACTCAAGATGTACTTTATCCTTAATCTCACTTCAGAAATGATTCTTAACTGATTAAAGAAGAACATTGTATAAATGTCAAATCAAAGCATATCCTGATAGTCCGTTGACATGTTTGGAAGAAACTGCGGGGTTAACATTCAATCAAGCTTCCAGCATAACTCTGGCAGAGGGATCGGGAGGAAAACAGCAACAACCCCATTGTATACACTTGTATATACACTTTACAACACAGATGATAGCTAGGGATCAGAACCAGGGATTTAATCTGGGACTCAAGTTTCCCCAGGTGGAAATGGAACCCAGTGTTGGCAGACATTAAGGCCTGGAAATCTGATGGTTTTACTTGCGTTTTTCAAGCTCAGGAACACCAACAAATATGACTGGCAAGAAACCCACACTCGTTACAAGCCAGAAGCTTCAGCATCTGCCAAAAGGGTATGGTATAGTCAACAGAAAATGGGGCCAAGGGCACATGCCTGAAACAGACCCTTTGCATAAGAAAATGAGGAGTTTAAGTCCTGCCTATCCGGGGCCTCCTCTAGAAAATTGATTTACTGTGAACACAGTGAGCACTGGTTTAGCTGTGTTCAAGAAATCCTGGTTTGCACACAACCTGTGCCGCAATATTTGATGAGACTACCGCAGGCTGCTTTCAAAAAGATGTTACTTTCTTGAGTATAGGTCAACAGGAGGAAAGAGAATGAATTGTACACTCTTTCTAGATCCCACCTGACATTCTTGTCATTGAAATTAAGGGATTAAGAAACTGACGGGTTTGGAATAGACAGAGCAGACCAGGCAGAGTTAAGATCAGGTGTTCTGGCTCTCCAGATACTTTAGAAAAGCAACATTGAATTTGAGAGACAAAAAAGAAACTTGTGAAATATTCACACCATTGCACGAAGACCAAAGTGAGAAAAGCCGTGCATTCAGAAAAATAATCCTTTGATTTATATTGTTGCTGTAAATTTACATTTCATTTTCTGAATGGAATCCGTTGTTTGAGATTACATACAAGCTCTGAAAGGGTTAAATTGAATTGGGCCATCATGCTATTTACGTAAGACCTACACCGAACTACGAAGCCTTTGAATCCTACAGAGCAATGGACACCTATCATGAGCCTGAAAAGTGGCAAGTTCATGATATAGATTTTGACCGCTTTCTTGTAAACTTGTACTGCCATGTCACCATGAACGTATGAGCAATAATGCACTTCATTGCCGGAATTTTATAAAGATGATATTCGTCTAAAAAAAGCTTATTATTATTGATTGTTGCACACTGTATAGGTTTTTTGAATGTCTGATTTTAATATATGTTATGTATTGAAAGCTTACTTGAGGTTTGTCATTGATAGCAGTCCACTCATCAGTTTAATTTAGTAATTTCTTTAGACTTTTTAAAATTGACATTGCTTGGAGTTCTGATGTGCATATAAATATGTTGAGAATAAAAAATTTTTTTTTGGGAACATGATTCTCCCTTTTGCTTGAATATTCCACAAGGTTGGTTGGAATCAAACAATCTCCTTAAGGGGACAATTGGAAACTGACACATTATATAGGGTCTAGGCCCGAAACGTCAGCCTCTCTGCTCCTGTGATACTGCTTTGCCTGCTGTGTTCATCCAGCCCTGCACCTTGTTGTCTCGGATTCTCCAGCATCTGCAGTTCCTACTATCTCTCATTATATACAGGGTTTGAATATCATCATTATCACAATGATGTTTGTGGGATGTGAGATAGAATTAATGCTCCACCCCAGCCCAAAGGAATTTAAATAGGCAGAAAGGCATGGGGTGTATGTTCAGTTGTCCTCACCCAGAGAGTAACTCACCTCCCAGCTCCCCAAAGCCTATCCGCCATCTACAAGGCACAAGTAGGAGTGTGATGGAATATTCCCCACTTGCCATGATAGGTACATCTCCAACATTTTTCAAGAAGCTTGACACTATCCAGGACAAAGCAGCCCGCTTGATTGGCACCACAACCACAAGCATCCACTCCATCCACCACCGACGCTCAGTAGCAGCAGTGTGCACTATCTACAAGATGCACTGCAGAGATTCACCAAAGATCCTCGGAAAGCACCTTCCAAATCCAAAACCACTTTCATTTAGAAGGACAAGGGATACATGGGAATACCACCACCTGATATTTTCCCTTCCAACCCACTCAGCATCCTGGCTGGGAAATATATTGTGTTACTTCACTGTCGATGGGACAAAATACTGGAATTCCCTCCTGAATGACATTATTGGTCAACCCACAGTAGGTGGACTGCAGCAGTTCAAGAAGGCAGCTCACCACCACCTTCTCAAGGACAACTAGGACAGCAATAAATGCTGTTCAGTCAGCAATGCCCACAGAAAATGGCTGAGGTTAGAACATTGTGTTTCTAAGAAGGACGTAGATTTCACTTTTGTGGCTAAAGGGATCAAGGGAAGTAGAGGGAGAACAGGATTAGAGTATTGAACTTGATGATCAGCCATGATCATATTGAAAGACTGAGCAAGCTCAAGGAGTCAAATGGCCTACTCTTGCTCCTATCTTCTATGTTTCTATATTTCCCAACAATAGGTGATTGAGCCATGGGCAGGGAAGCCTATGGGCAGCATCTCTATTCCTAGGCCACTGAGATACTTTAGTGAACAGTTAATGGCTCTTTAAGGACCTCACCATGTTGCCTTTGGTTGGGGCCCAAACCATGCAAGTGGCAACCAGATATACCCTGTTTGGTTGCACATCAGCTCAGGAGAGGGGGCTTTTCTGATCGGGCACCCTGTGTCCCACAGAGGCCTCACTCAGCAGCAAGGGTGTCCTCTGCTGGCCTCCATAACAACCCCTCCTCTTTATCAGGGCCTGCCTGACTGGCTCTAGTAACCACTCATAATGGGCCTCCCTTGCTGGATACTGCTCTGGTCTACCTGCAGTCCCAGCACAGGCCACCTGGTTCCTAGGGGCGCTGCTGAGACTGAAGGACAGGTGGCCATTTGACTGGGCAGCCGTTCTTGGAGTCAGAAGCATTGCCTCGAAGGTACAGGAACCTCATGAGAAGGCAGGCATTTAATTCCCTCAAGGGCTCTGGATTTGGCCTGTGTGGAGTTTCCAACTGGTAACTGGGGTCATTACTCCAGCCACTGGTGTGCCATGTTTCACCTCATTACAACAGGGACTACTTTGGAAATATTTCAATGGTTGCAAGGTGCCTTGTCAGCAGGAGCTTGATGACAGGGAAAGCAGACTCCGATGTCCCAGAGGGGTCCCTCTCCAACCTCAAACCACCCGCAGGTGGCGCCAAAGTATCTGGTTTGCCTCAGTAGCGCCTGTCTCTCCCACTGATTGAGGCTTCAGACCTCTGATTGGCCCAGCACCATCTTGAGTCCACCTACTGCCCTGAATTGAGCAGCCTGCTAATTAGGGGCTACCTTCAGGAGAGTGGCTGAGCCATTTCCAGTGACAGTAAGGTCAGGGCCAGGATAACTCCTTTGCTTCAGATGTTGGGTCCCTGAAGCCTACAGTAAAACTCAGCCAAAAGATTGGAAAGATCACCTAAACTGGCCCCTTGTCTTATGGAGTTTTGAAGAATAACAGATGATTTGATTGAAATGTGTTGAATGTGTAGGGGGTTTGACAGACTGAGAGCTGGAGACTGCGCTGCTAGAACTATGGGTCCCAGGCTCTAAACAAGTGGTCAGTCATTTTGTGAAAGGGACTACATACATGTTTAATCCAATGGGCAGTAAAGTATATTTAAAACATTCAAGAGTTATTTTGGACCAACAACATTTGCTCTGCTCCTGCTGCCACTTAGCAAATTTAATTTTAGATTTCCAGCATCCAGCAGTCTTTTGCTTTTTATTGTATTAGCAAAGTATAAGATGATCCATGTTCAAAAGAACTGAGGATCTAAACATAAACTGGAATTTTAGCAAGGTCAGAATGAGGTAGAGGCAGGGACTTAAATCTAACAATGTGTTAGTTGATTATCTGATCATCAATCTATTAAGTAAAATAAAAGATTGTCAGCGATGCAACATGGAGTTAGTAGGACAGCAGGATATGTAAATAGTGGAGTGACTAGTCTGAAGAGACGCAGAGAGAAATGAAAAAGAAGATACAAAAAAAAGGAATTAAAAACTACGAATGAAACAAATAAAGTCAATGCTAAACTTATCACAGTAAATGTCTGATTTGAGAATATTATAATCAGTAACTCCAAAGATAACCACCATAATTATTTGAAACAAAAATTTCCGAAATGTACCAAAATTTAACAATATTCAAATGAACATTGAAAATCTTCTATAAGAGCATTTCATGGAATCCTGTGGCTAAACATATGCTACCCAATGTAGAGGGCTCTCAGTAGAGTGTATATCTCATGCATACTATGTTTACTCACTGTGACTGAAGTCCATGCAAATGCAAGGTTTACCCTGAAGGAAAATCTCCCAAGCACTGAATTTGCAAATGGCAAACCTCTTCAATGATGGGAGTCAATGGGATAGTTTCCAGCCATCTAAGAATTTGAAATGGACAGTGTATAGAAGGTAAAGTACAGTGAAATGTTTTTAACACATTTGAAGATGTTGTTCTGGAATAGTTGTTTATTAACTAAGAAACATGTTAAGTTTTCCACACTTACCCTTATTATAAGGCTCTCCAGCGGAATGCACAATTATAACAATAATGAACATGCAAGAATCAAACACACAAGAGTGAGAAAATTACCTCAACCAACATTCAGTGACACCATTCCTTTAGCCATATCAAACTGCAGGGGAGATTTAACTATCAACTATCATTCTCCCGATTGGAAATTCCACCAGCAGCTTTCTCTGCCCATAGATCATAAGAAATAAGAACAGGAGTAGGCCTTTTGGTCCCTCAAGCCCGTTCTGCCGTTCAATAGGATCACGGCTAATCTGACATTCCTCATCCACTTTCCTGACTTTTCCCTATAACTATTGATTCCCCAACTGATCAAGAATAATGAAACAATTAAATTCAATCTCAAATAGGCTAATAATCTCGAATTCTGAGGAAATTTGGGGCCAATGGTGGTAAAATAGTGAAAGTTTCAACAAAAACCATAGACTGTAAATTTACAGCTGTATTACCTTGGAAGAGTGCAGAAAACCAGGACCCCAATTACATAGTAGAAGAGGCAACATTTGCAATTAATTGATTGTAAAATAAACCCTGACATTGTTACTCAAATTTTGCCATGCATTAGATATTGATTTGAAATTAATCCAAGGATGACCCAGTTCACTGTTGGTCTGCATCAAAAATTTGTTCTCAAACTTGTTTAAAAAGGATATAATATTATTGGACCACAAGAGGTCCCTCTGATGCGAAGTAGAAAACTGTTAGATTTGCAATTTCACAAATTCTTTTTGGTGATTTGACCATTGCTGCCAAGGTTTACTTTCATTGCCAATCCCTAATTGACTTTGAACTGATTGGCTTGCTAGGCCGTTTCAGAGGCCCATTTTCTGCTCGCTGAGTAGTTAAAACATGTCCCATTGACATGAATTTGAACTTGCTAAAACCTCCATTCAAGTCAATGCAACTGGCTGGTATGGGAACAGAGGGCTGATTCTTGTCATATTTTGGCTAAGTGACAATTTTGTTGCATTTCATGTCGTGTTTTTGGTCTGAAAGGCGCAGTGGAGCCAGCGGTGAACTGGAGTCATCAGGTATCTGCTCAAACTTTTGGGTCGGAAATAGTCAATGTCTGGTTTCTGCTCAGTGGTTTTATTAAGATGAGAAGTTGCTCATTAACAAGTTGAAATTCAGTGTTAATCAGGCTGTTAACAGGCAATGATCTCCATTAATATGTATCTCACTGTTGTCTAATGAGCATCTCATCTCAATGTCTGGAATTTAATTAGAAAACACAGCTAGTCACTCTCAACATTAAGATAGGCCTCACTGGACTTTTCACATAATTCTCCCAGATTTCTCACTGTGGTCCGTGTCATTCAGGCCTCTAAAGTTTCCACCCAGCGTCTTTCCATCTCTGGAATTTGACTTTGAATGCAGCATGAATAATCAGAGTGGGTGTTGTCAGTACTTTGGGAGTTAAGAAAGGTCATGTGGGACTTGGGACTTTAATTTATTGTGTCTTTGAGCCCATGACTACAGCAAGAAGAGGGGAGGTTTTTACTTGCCAACAATTTGGGAAACCAATAGCTCATGGTGGATCCTGAGGTCTTCGTTTACCTACAAGCTGTAGAGTTTGAACTTTCACCTTTTAACACAGACTAGTTCCCTACCTTGAAGTCATCCTGATGGTTAGGTAGGGAACACTGCAATGAAGGCCACAAGATCAGAAGGATCCAGTTCTGACCACAGTATAGGAAATGGGAGTCCTATCTTGAAGGAAGGATTGGATTGCAAGGGGAGTCTGATCTCCAATACAGAGCATTCATAGGCCAGAGGAGCTGGGGCTTGTGTGCTGTTGTATCT